GTTCAGCTGCTCGAGCGCCTGGATGTGGACGACTTTGGAGGGCTCCGGGAGTGTTTGGGATTTAGGGTTTAGAGTTTAGGGTTTAGGGCTCCGGGAGTGTTGGGGAATTTAGAGTTTATAGGGCTTAGGGTTTAGGGTTTAGGACTTTATAGGGCTCCGGGAGTGTTTGGAATTTAGAGTTTATAGGGTTTACAGGGTTTAGGGGGTTTAGGGTTTAGGATTTGTGTTTCGAAATTAGAGTTTATAGGGTTTACAGGGATTACAGGGTTTAGGGGTTGATGGGTTTAGGGTTTAGGGTTTAGGGTTTAAGGTTGATATCTGCCGGTTTTAGCAGGTCTTTACGAGGGTGTTCTGCATGCAGATGGAGTTTCCGCGGTTCAGGGTTTACGGCTTTACGCTTCATGCTTTTAGGGCTTTCTGGAACTGATGCGCTGCAGGGATTGAGGTACAGCTCACTCTTCCTGCGATAAGGTTGGAGACACATGAGCCCTACATACCGGCGGTATGGTGGCCCACCATACAAAACCCTAAGGGTCCAAGTACCATAGAAGCAGTGGCCCACCATACAAAACCCTAAGGGTCCAAGTACCTAATAATCATGAACTCTTCTGAGTACTAACCTAGAGAACTACTATCCGCGACCCCAGTACATGATTATTACCCAAGGGCTCCTATGTAGTTCCTTTTTGGACAGCAGCATACTATAATTCCTTACCCCAAAACCATAACAGACGCAAAACGGAACTGCATTGGAGCCCCTGGGTAGGTCCTTTGGGCCCTGAGGGAAAGGTCTACAGGTGTGTTGCTTCAGGCTTTACTTAAGCTCAAGGCCGAATACTTCGGAGTTGCGGGCTGGGAGATTGAAACCGGTTCAGGGTTTGGGCGGTTTAGGGTTCACCTGAAGGGTCATACCCTACCCCTTTTTTTAAGGTACGTAGTTCTATGGTCAGGATCGGCTACATAAAAAACTAGGTACCCTCAAGAAGGGGTAGGGTATGACTCGCTAGGTCGGGTTGAAGCTTGGAATTATAGCCCAATGTGCCTGGACCCAAAAACCTTACGACCCCTGACTCCCAAACTGAAGCAACGCCCAAGCCCACACGTGGTATGCGACCTTAACCCTAAACCCTAAACCCCAAAACCCCCAAACCCTAAACCCTCAACCCAAAACTCGAAGAAACCCAGACCAAGTGGCCCTAAAGAGTAGGGTAGGGGCGCTGCACTCTCATACTATGAATTCCTGGATGGTCATTGCACCCTAAACCCTAGACCCCTTAGGAATTAAGGACACGCTTCGCCCTTAATTAAGCAAGGAAAGGATTCGACCAAATTATGTAGCCACAATTTTTCAGGGTATACCCTAAACCTTAAACCCTCCAAACTCTGAACCCGAAACCCCTAAACCCTAAGCCCACCGCAGCAAAGACATGCCGGTCTCAAAATCGGTTTTCGCAGCGAAGCTTCCGTCTATAACCTGAATCCATGCACCCGGTGGCATCGCAAGTGAGCCTCGAGGCTACGGCCTTCCTGCCGGCGTTGACTTAAGTTTACATGGCGATGCGACATGTCGAGCATGTGGATTATTTTGGCCGAAAGCTGCTTTTGGCCCTTCCATCGATTCCCTATAAACCCTACCTAAAGGGTCGTACCCTACCCCTTTTGGAAGGTACCTAGTTTTATGATTAGGATCGGTTATATAACAAAAAGTAGGTATCCTAAAAAAGTCGTATATAGACTATGACCCTATAGCTAAGCCCTAAACCCTATGGGCTCGGCATTTGAACGCCGAAGGCGTCTGAGTCTCTGCGCCGTCGGCGAATGCCACCAGGACAAAAATTCGCCTCCTAGGGGCTTTAATAATTATTAGGGTTTAGGGTTTAGGGTTTAGGGTTTAGGGATTCCTTAAAGGGTTCCTTAAATTCCTTAAAGGGTTCTATAAGGGATATACTATGAGGGTTTGGGGTATAGGGGCCTTAATAATTAGAATAAGAGGGTCTTTGGGGGTTGTTTATAGTATAATTTTAGTAAGGAACCCCAAAATGATATAGGTAGTTATTGAGGCCTCTATATTAGGGTTTGGGGTTTAGGGTAACCCTAATCGAAGGTGTCCTTTCCGAGGCCTCCGGTTTCGGGAAGCCCTATAAACCCAGAACACCCAAGAACATACCCTTTCGGAGGTCCAAACCCCAAGTATGATTTCCGTAATTAAGTCACAAAAAAGGACACCACATCATGAGGTGGTGCGACAAACCTGTTTTGCCTAGGGACAGCGAGCTATTGTAATGGGATCCTTCACCCAAGCCTGACCTGGTCATAGCAGACTAATCTGCAGGGCTTGGGCAAGGCGTATAGGCAGCTTCGCCATCAACCCTCAACCCTCAACGCTCAAGCCCTCAACCCAGAATCGCCGTCGCAGCCTGCTCCGTCTGCTGCAGCCGCTGCATAACGCTCTGCATCTCTCGCTGGTGGGGTCCCTGAGCAGGCTCACTTCGTGATTTACCTAAGCAACCTCCGAAAAATGTAGAGCCTAAATAATTACCTATAACATTCCTCCGGGTTCCTTACTATAAAGGGGCTCAAAATCATATTCCAACTATTCAGGCCCTACAGCACCACCCATCGACAAGTATCTCCCCTGCAAGACTCGTTGCGGGGTGGGGGGTGAGCGGGGGGGAGGAGGTGGGGAGGGGTCGGGCACTGGTAGCGCTCCTGAATTTGTAGAATAGGAAATAAAGGGGGTGTATGACGATAGATTGTAGTAATGCTATACGAAGAGTATACGGAAAATGATGAGTATTTATTTCAAGCCATAAACCACATGTATGCCCTACTATCACTACACTGAGACTATGACACACACAGAGGCATATCATGACAAGTTGCTCAAGCCCTGCACTATACTGCGTTAAGAGTTTTGGGTTTCTGGACTCTTGAGACCGGGATCATATTGGAAACAAACAATTCGCCGCATGAACTTTACGGTTTAGGGTTTAGGGTTGAGGACACCGCAACCTAACCCATGCAATCTTACACCTGCCAAGTCTAATTTTCCACCCCATATCCTCCAGCCCCAAAAGGAGAGTGAGAGGTGGGAAAGCCACAGCTAGGGTACTCATAAGCCTACTTCTACCCTCAAATAACCCAAGTATCCCTAAATACTAAGCCGTAGACCCTAAACCTCAAACAACCCAAGTATCCATAAACACTCAACCCTAAACCCTAAACCTCAAGAAACCCAAGTATCCCTAAATACTATTCACTGGGTTTAAACCCTGGCAGAACTCATAAACCGCTTTGTAACCCGTTGAGAACCTGGAGAAATCCTGTAAGAAACACACCCAAACCTAAACCTGTATTAGGGTTTGGTTTAGGGTTTCAGGTTTAGGGTTCCCTACATTAAACCCTACAACCTTAAACCCCTAAAGCCCCAAACCCCAAGCCCTAACCGTCCCCATGCGCTGAAGGCTTCTAGTATAGGGGCCTAAATGAGTAGGTTGGCCCTCTGAAGCCTCTAAAAAAAAAATTCGTACATAAGATCCTCTTCAGTCTAGTATGGGTGGTTGTAAAGTGTCCCACCCTACTTAGGCAATTGGAATAGGGCTTTCGGGTATGTGGTAGCGTAGTCGATAAGCGGACCGTATGGAATGATAATATGTTGGGTTTAGGGCTTTACGGTTTAGGGTTTATGGCCGTTGAGGATTTGGGGCTCAAGGGCTTAGGGGCTTAGGGCTTAGGAGGCTAAGGATTTCGGGTTTATGGCCGTTCAGGGCTCAAGGTGTGCAATAGTAATTGTTTTGAGGTCATAGTAGCACGACCCAGAAGTCAAGATCTTATGGAACCTGGGCAGACGGACGTGGCGTAGCGCACTCGAGGGTTAAGATCTGCCCTGGACTTGAAGTTAACATGAACATGCAGCGGCAGCTTTGGTTTCGGGTTGCGGCTCTTGGGATTTTCGCAGTCGGGGTGTTATTCAGCTCCCTTTTCTGTAATGAGATGACCAAGATCCTTGAGGTAAGACCTGGACCTATCAAGAGTGTGAGCTGAAACGGCTACCCAGACCCGCATATAGGAACCTGAGTGTTTTAACACTAAACCCTAAACCCTAAACCCTAAATCCTAAACCCTAAATCCTAAACCCTAAACCCGAATATAAGAAGCTGGGTCTTTAACACTAAACCCTAAACCCTAAATCCTAAACCCTATATAAACCCAAAACCCTTAACCCTAAACCCTAAACCCTAAATCCTAAACCCTAAACCCTAAACCCTAAATCCTAAATCCTAAATCCTAAACCCTAAACCCTAATTCCCAAACCCTAAACCCGATACAAGAACCTGAGTGTTTCACATTGTTTAACAATACCATGGCCTCGGGCTTCTTGTTAGATTTCTACTACTAGGCTCCCCAGTAGCCCCTAAATAGGGTTTAGGGTTTATAGGGTTTAGGGTTTGGGGCGTAGGGTTTTAGGGTTTAGGGTTTAGGGTTTAGGGTAGCCCCTAAATAGTAAGGGTATCCTTTTTCATACTACTTGGTATTTTTACGGGAACCCAAAAAAGAAAAAGGGGCAAAGGGTAGTACTGGGGAACCCTAACTGACACAGACCCCGAAACCATATTCCAAATATCAAGGCCCAATATGGGTAGTTCTCTAAATTAGGGTCCCTCTTCCTTTTAGAAAGGACCCTACAAGGACCACAGACTTTAGAGAACTACCCAAATGGCTGAATGCGTTTTTGTCCTTTCCGCAGGCAGTGATGCGGATCGGAGCCCGCTCTGTACAAGTCGGAGGAATCCGAAAGCTCGCCCTCTGACTTTGCGGTTTAGGATTTAGGGTTTAGTGATATAGGGGCCTGAATAATTACCAATACTGTTTTTTGGGGGGTTCGGGGCCCGAAAACCCTATTCTAATCATTCAGGCCCCGATCGTACATAGAGTCAGGCCCCGTGGTGCGCCTTGATCTGTACAGGCAGCAACGAACCTCTCTGTACCGTGTGGCGATTTCAGGTGTCTTCCGGCGGCTCCTCGAACATTCCGAGCACTGACATCAACTGCGGCGACACCTGAGTAGTTCTCAAGGCAGTTCAAACATTGATTCTTTTCTGATAGGACTGCGGAGTTTCATCTCAGAAATAATTTTTACAGAAGCGGGATAGGGGTGTGTGAAGCAGCAGTTTACCTTGGCCCTAAACCCTAAGCTCTTACTTGGAGGTTCATGGGTAGTTATAAGTGGGGTTATAAGCCCCCTATTATGGGTTATAACTATAGTTACCTTACTTATAACCCCACTTATAACTACCCATGAACCTCCAAGTAGCCCCACCCTAAACCCTAAACCCTAAACCCTAAACCCTAAACCCTAAACCCTAAGCTCCTAGATCCCAATAGAATTCAAGACCGGCCGAGGCACCGGGAGCAGACTTTCCCGCTGACTTGGCCACAAGACAGCCGAAGCCTCCTCGGCGTTTCCTGCCTCGAGCGCTGCTGCTGCTTTCCTCGTACTGTTTAGGGTTTAGGGCCAGGGCTTTGGGTTCAGCTTTAGGGCAGAGGTGCTCAAAGGGATGGACAGCAGATATGACTCATGATCTTTACTCATCTTTATTCTGTAACCGAAACAGTTCTAACCCTTTGACAGAACAAAAGAAATTGAAGCACTATACTCGCAAACCTGGTCTCTTAAACCTTGCGGTCTCGTCGGTGATCTCGAGTACCAGGGTAGGATCAAGAAGCTTTTGCACGGCTGTACCTCGCAGTCCAATCTGAATGGAGCGGACGTTTCTCAGTGGTCTCGTGTACACCTGCTTTCCGGAACCCTCTGTATCCATCTCGCCTGAGATGTGTCGGCAATCTTCAGGCAATAGCTTGATATATGTTGATATCTTCGTCTATAAACCATGAAACAGGCCATTAAAACCTAAAGCCTAAACCCCAAGCCCAAACCCTAAATACCCTGAACCATATGTCTAAGGGTCCATGTCTCCGAATAGTATATACTTTGGCTCCAAAGTACCTATATTGGGACTACTTGAAGACCAAAGTATACACTATTTGGGAACGTGGACCCTTAGGGAACTACAGCAGCCTGGTGACGTTCAGGATCCCACTGAACAACCACAGAGCTGTCACGGCACTTCGATTGATCAACCGAGGAATGGGACAAATGCGCATCCATGAGCAGGTCTTCGAAACCCTCACCTAGGGTAAGGGTTTTCCGGTTTAGGGTTTGGGGTGGTTTTAGGGTTTTGGCTTTAGTTCTTGGGGTTCACCTATTATGGTTTAAGTTTCGGGTTTAGGGTTGCTTTTGTAGGTTTCGGTTTTACGGCTCCGGGTTCAAATTGGGTTCCTTAAGAGTGGGTTTTAAACGGTGCGTTAGATATAGTTCCAAAGGTTCTGGGGTCTAGGGCGCTGGGGATTTGGCTTAGGGTCCGGGTGTCCGTCAGTGTTTGACTGACGGTTCCTTGAAGGGTTCTCTAGGATGTAGGGTCTGGGCTTTGGGGATTGCCTTGGCTTGTCTTGGGCTTCGGGTTTCCGTCAAGGTCCATTTAAAGGTTCCTTTACGGTTTCCTTTAAGGGTCCTAGAGGTTGTAAGGTCTAGGGCTTATTTGGCCTAGGCTTAGAGTATGTTGTTGGTTTAGGGCTTAGTGCTCTGGTTGTTTGGTTCGCGACTATATGGGCCCCTATTGAGAACGAAAGTACTTCAGAAGGGTGTAGGGTTCAGTTTAGGGTTTAGGGTTTAGGGTTTCAGCTATCATACAGGAGTTCGTGGTATAAAGGGCAAAGGTGGAAACACACCCTGCGGTTGAAAGGCCGCTTGATGTCCAAGTTGCGGGAAAGATGCAAAGCCAGAACTCTTGCCTGGTTCTTGTCCTTCATGGTCGTCCAGCCACATCGGTAAGCCATCCAGACTGCACTAGGTTTGATCCATGTCATGCGAGTCGGTTTCCAAAGACCAGCTTCCATGGGAGCCTTGAAGGAGTTGCCCTTAACAGCTGCATCAGCAATGGCATCGTTGTAGGCTTGGTAGACGATAATCCTCCTCTCGTCGTAGATGGCGCGAATCTGTCGGTACTGTGCCTCTGCATAGGCATCGGAGGGGTAGCCTTTGTCAAGGGTTCTATCATCCCCATGTCTGATGGACTCGCCCGCAGCACTAGGCGCTGATGAAGTCTTGAAGTACTGCTTCAGACACTCCCCCACTTCTTTGCCCAGAAGCCTTCGCCTGACAAGATCATCTATAGTCGCTGCAGTATTCCCATGCTTCGCCAGCTCTGCGCGTATACTTGTGGAGCTCAAGTCAGCAGTCTCCCCATCACCCTTCTTACTGACGCCGCCCTGCTTAGCTTCGGAACGCACACCGAAGACTTCGGTGTCCGGGCTGTGGTGCTTCTCCACCATAGCCTAAGACAGGCTTCACTGTTGATGATATAAAAACCTGCATTACTTATGGCAATTACGGTATGTTCCTTATTATGGGTAATGTGCAGGATGCAGATCATCAACCAATACTTAGGGACTTTGCCCAAAGCAGGTACTGTTTCCACACCCGAAGTCCAGGGACAGCCTACGATCTTGAGTGCCCCATCGGGAAGTCGGATTCCCATGGTGCAGCATGAACAAACAAATCAAGATGCTGGTATATGCTAATCATACCGAGCCCAGTAGCTTTCCCACATGCCTTCCAGCCCTGGAACTCTGCGGCAGAAATAAGCCATCCTCGATCCTTTGCCACAGCCTTGCAAAGCTCAGTGCGTGCAGCTGCAGTCATCCAGGGTTCCATCTGCTTCACTTTCTGCTTGACATAACTGTCCGGGGCAACTGCAAAGTATCCTGCCGTCACGGAGTACCTCAAGCCCCACACGGTACAAAAAATCAGTTGTATAGGTGATGATGGCTGAATTATTATTATTATTATTATAATTATGTTTAATATTATTATTAGTATTATTATTATTAGTATTATTATTATTATTATTAGTATTATTAAAATTATTATTATTATTATTATTGATATTATGATTATTATTATATATATATATATAAACACCGCCTGTATATACCGTATTGACATACATATATATATATATGTACCAATATAT